TGCTGTGGAGGGGAGGGGGGGCGCAGCTACTGTACCCGCCCGCCCTCCCGCTGCTGAAACTGAACAGGTTTTTCTCACCACTGGTCAGTTTCAGCAGCGGCTGAATCGGGGACACCTGGGGTAGAATATGTACCAGTTCTGACTTGCATACAAATTCAACTTAAGAACAAACCTACAGTCCCTATCTTGTCCGTAACCCGGGAAGTGCCTGTACTTCACCAAGGCCACTAAGGGACTGTGGCGCAGTGGGGGTACTGTCTGCTCTGTGACCCGGGGTTCCTCTGTGCTGTGATGGGAGATTCTCACTGACCCTCCCAAATGTATATTAACCCAGACACCCAGGCTCAGCCTCCCAGGGAGGGAGACAAAGGAAGGAGGGCGGAGACCAACACCTGGCTGGGGGGCAGGGCTGGGAGCGGGTTTTTAGTTTGTCTGGAATAATGGAGGAAGCAGCCTAAGCAACAGGCTGGGATTTAGGGGCCCAGTCTCCCCCATCTTAAGGGGGGCTGAGGCATCCTCGGCCTGCCCTGCAACCAGATTACATCTATGCTGTGCTGCATCCTGGAGAAGCAATAAACTCCCTCTATTCTACTGGCTGGTGGAGTCTGTTCGTGCCACTACCGGGGTGCAGGAGACAGGGAAACCCCAACGCACCATCACAGGGACCAATAGCAACTGTGGGTGAAATGAGATCATCACCATGCTCTTGAACTAATTTACACAGAAAAGTAACAGACAGGAATATCAGATCACCTGTAAGTGAATGCCTTGGATGTGAGAGATCCACATTTGAGTCACTTCTGTCTGATTCAGGGACTTATACCTGGGTCTTCCACATCCTTAGCTAGTGCACTAATCACCAGCCTGGAGACAGACCTGCACCCCCCACTGTATGCTTCCATTTACCCAAATTTCTCCTTTCCAATAGAAAGAAGGTCTGTAAAAATGCGGTTAAAAATGTAACCCTGTAACCGCTAAAAATCATAGCGGTTATAAAGCATAGTGGTTACACGGTTACACACACTACGGCCTCTGCAGTATAAAGCTTAGATAAGCTCTATACTGCAGAGCTTGCAGCGAAGGCTCCCCAGGAGCGGGGAGGAGGCTTTGTTGTGGGTCCCTGCCAGCCCTGCTCTCAGGGAGCCAGTGTTTAACTTGTGGCAGAGGGCCAGGGTGTGGCTGGGCTAGACACAGACAGGGACTTCTCCAGCACGTGCCACAAGGCTAGAGCCATCCCCCTGTCTGGGGCAGGCTGGGAGTTGCTCCAGCCCCTACTGGTTAACTGAAACCAGTAAGCTTTGGCTTTTAACCGATTAACATTTTACATCCCTAATCAGGCTTTGATCTGAAAAAATACAGGTCCGCAAAACTTCACTTTCATTAAAATGTTCAAGAGGCTTTGGTTTTGATCCAATGTTGAAAGAGATTGGAATTTGAAAATTGCTATAAAACAGAATTGTCGTTGTCCAGTCAGTATACAACTTCTAATGTGCTTAGTTGCTGTTGCTCCAACCCTTTCAGTTAGCAAAACAGAGCTCGTACTGGAAAGCTTGAGTGACCGTTGTTCCAATGTAGGACTCTAAATATAAAAGTATTGCAATGACTAAAAAAAGTATTAAAATTAATCCTTTTTTGTTGCATCTTCGATATTTTAAAATTTGCTCAACTTCGCCTCTTGAACTGTAACTTCTTTACTTTAAGAGTGATGAATCTGAAGATGAAGAACCTTGTGCGATAAGTAACAAATGGGCTTATGAGAGATGCAGTCAGAGATGGTCTCGCCTGGAGAGCGTTGAAGGTTTCCCTTTAAAAGGTCCTAATTCATCAGTCCCAGACAGTCCAAGACATAAGAGCACTGGTAGTGAGGAGATCTCCTTTTCAGACCAAGGAGAGAAACATGATGCGTCATCAATTCACAGCAGTACCAGTGGGGACAGTGACATTATCAGCTTCCCTAAGACTTTTGAGGATGTTGAGACCAGCACTAGTTCCTCCAGGTGTTCCTCAAGTAAATTGGTCTCTCCTGACTCTACCTTTAGTTGTTCTCCTTCCCCTAGTGATTTCTTAAACATCATCAGTGAGGAGCAGCTTTTGGATAAGCCACCACACAAAAAAGGGAAGAGCTTTCTTAAGAAAATGGAGAAACTGCGCATAAGGAGCTCCAGTGTAAAGAGAGATGCTCGGTCAAAGGCCAAACCCATCATCGGTGAACCTGTTCTTGTGGAGGGACTGAATGAAGAAAAGCTGAAGAACCTTAATTGTGTGGATATTTGTGACCTCTCTGGCAGCCAGATAAAAAAGGATTCTTCTTATTCTCCCCCCACTTGCAGTAGCAGCAGCCAGTCTGAAAACAGCAGCACTGTGAGCACTCCAAGTCCTGTTATCAAAGTCAGGAGCTATGCTAAACGGGGAGGCGTGCATGCAGAGGACACTGACTCCAGCAAGCTCTCTTTGTGGAATGATGTATCGGAGCAGAACTTCAGAAATGAAATTAACTTGCATGCAAACCAAATGTTTCACATCCCACAAGGCCATAAGCCTGGAACTTTCCCCAAAGCACTTACAAACAGTTTCTTATCCCCAACAGACAACAGTTCTGTGAACTGGAGAACTGGAAGCTTTCATGGATGCAGGCGGAACAGAATTAGAATTAGTGCTAAGGAGTCTGAGACTCCTCTGAGTCCTTTGTCATGTATAGATAACAGACTGAGTATATATGACAATGTGCCCAGCATTCCTGTTCATCTTAACAAGATGGAGGTGCCGGACGTTGGTGATGATGATGTTTTTTCAGAACTAGACAATGTCATGGAACACATCAATGGGCTCAGAAAGTTGGTGAATCAGTGGACTGAGAAGTTCTCAGATGATGGAGACTCTGATTTTGCGAATGACTCAACCTCTCCGTGTCCATCTTCCCCTAAAGAAATCCACCTTGAGATAAAACAGCATTCAGCAGATAAACTGGCAGATCTACCAGCTGCTGATGGAAAACAGAACTGCAATGAGCTTGATTCCCCAGAACTGATTTATGTAGGAGATTCAGAAATGGCATCCTCGTTTTCACATTCCAACAGGTCAGCTTCCTTTTTCTTTACAGCCTTATTCTTACCTTTCTATCCTATCTCCAAGAACTTCTCTGTCATCCCCTCAGTCCAAAGCCGTCTGAAAAAAATGAAAAAATTAAATTCATTTAACAGAAAAGAGGCCTGAATAACCAGATCCAAGCATTAGGTGCTATGGTATTCCAGTGATGATGGCCCCACAGATGCTGAGAGAATTCCAGATTGAAATTTTGTGGCTCATTCCTTTCTCTAACTTGAGCCTTTCACGTCAGTGCAGTACCTCACAGATTAGATCTTTTATGTAAAATGCAACCAAAATCTGCTTGGAAACGTTGGGTCACTTTTGAAGTGATTGATGGGACAAAATGTTCCATAGGTGTTCCATTGCTTTAGGCAGAAACCTGACATGAGCTATGAGAACATTCCTTTAACCTAAACAATGTTTACTCCTTAGACATGAGAGGCGACACTGGTCTACAGAGGAGACTGTGAACTTTGAAAGCCCTTCTGTACAAATTGATAACCAGTCAGCAGCCCACCTAAACCGAATACAGAAACTTGCTTTGTTGAAACTCACTGCTTTAATGGACAAATACTCTCCTTCCAGTAAACAGGGCTGGAACTGGTAAGTTAAAATACTCTAATTCAGGACAGATGACATTTGGCAACAGCAGGTGGATCTTTTACCCTGCTCTGGATTGAGTATGCACATCTGGAGTGAAACTGTAGTCTAGCTGTCTCAATGGGAATTTTGCTGTTGATTTCAGTGGGGCAGGATTTCGCCCTGACTGTCACCATTTCCTACAGTTTGGCATTATTGGATAACTTAAATAATAGTCCAAACTTTAGTCTTTGCTTTCTCCTGAAGTTTGCCCATTCATAAATCTTTTCTCTGAAAGACCTTCTGTGAGACAATGGGAATTAGGGACAGAGAGCCACTTCCAGCCCCTTCTATCCTGGCTGCAACTTAAATAAAAATCACCTGCCATTGTGATCGGCTATAGCAATTCTGCATCTTTATGCAGGGTTCTAGCACTTGAACTTATAAGAATTTAGCAGATTGTGTCCCTAAGCATGATAATGTATTCTGCAAGAGTTCCCACTTGAAATTAGGATTTCTTTATGGCAGCTGCACCCTGCTAAATTTAAGGAACTTATGCCACACAGCCCATGATGTCATTGTATTTTTAATTGTTGGTTTCTTTGTGCTGCTCTGAGTGTAATAGGGCTGCAGGAGTTGGGGAAGGAACAAAGGCGGCACACTCACATAAAGAGGGGCAGGGGTGGGGGGAAAGATCCGCAGTGCCCCTTGTCTGAACTTCACTGAGTAGCACTAATGATTTGATTGCATTTATTTTTGTTTTCAGGACTGTTCCAAAGTTCATTAGAAAAATCAAAACCCCTGACTACAAGGACAAAAGTGTATTTGGGGTCCCATTACTGCTAAATGTTCAGCGAACAAGCTACCCACTTCCAAAGAGCATTCTCCAGGCCATGCAGTATTTAAGAAGCCACTTTCTTGACCAGGTACAAATAAAAAAACCAAGCCTAAATATGACTTGAATGACACTACTTCATCCTGTGGATGCTTTTAACTTGGAGCCCTTCCAGAGGTGCCACCATGTTCTTTTGGTTTGTCAACCCTTTGAAGGGTATTTGTTCCTATCCAAGGCTTCTCTCAGTGCTGTGTGAACAGGCTTGAATGAGCACCCTAGTGGGAACAGCAATATCGTCCTCTTTTTCTAGACATCTTATTTCCAACCCAGTATAAATGTATTTGCCCTTTGTTTATAGCACCTGTGGCAGTTCCAGTCAATTGGCAAATGTGGACAAACTCATAGACTTTAAGGTCAGAAGGGACCATTATGATTATCTAGTCTGACCCCCTGCACAATGGAGGCCACAGAATCTCACCCACCCACTGCTAGAATAATCCTCTCACCTATATCTCAGATATTGAAGTCCTTGAAACAATGGTTCAAAGACCCCAAGATGCAGAGAATCCTCCCGGAAGTGACCTGTGCCCCATGCTACAGAGGAAGGCGAAAAACCTCCAGGGCCTTTGCTAATCTACCCTGGAGGAAAATTCCTTCCCAACCCCGAATATGGCGATCAGCTGAACCCTGAGCATGTGGGCAAGACTTACCAACCAGACACCCAGAAAAAAGTTCTCTATAGTAACTCCTATCTTCCCACCATTTTCCTATTTACCACTGATAGTGAAAGGTCAATTAATTGCCAAGATCATGTTACCTCATGAAACCATCCCCTTCATAAACCCATCTAGCTTAATCTGGAATCCAGATAGGTCTTTTGCCCTCACTACTTCCCTTGGAAGGCTGTTCCAGAACTTCACTCCTCTGATGGTTAGAAACCTTCACCTAATTTCGAGTCTAAAGTTCCTAATAGCCAACTTATATCCATTAGTTCTTGTGTCCACATTGGTATTGAGCTTAAGTAATTCCTCCTTGGTGGCACGTCAAGCAAAATCGAACATCTGTAGCACACTTTCTCTGCTCTAGACAGTTTGAAAGTATTGCAACATCTGAATTTTCATTTCACTTCTTTAATAACTGAACTGTATCTTTTTATGGCATATAATAGGACTGTAAATAGGTGTTCTTTGTAAGCTGAACAGTTGGGTGGCCATCCAGGAGAGATTCAAATGTTGGCCAGATGATTAGCAGAGCGCCCACAGCCAGCCGTATGTGTTTCTACTGGCAGTGCACATGACAAAATTTATTCTGTACATGGATAGAAAAAGAGAGGAAATACTGCTTTGAATAACACCTTTTTTGTGCCCAACTTAGGTTTCTCCACTGCTCTGAAGATATTTGCATTTGTAGATTAGGGCCCACAGTTATGAATCACATACTGTGTGTGGTACCTCTGTAATAAGGATGGGGAAAATCTGTAAAATTATACATTTTCCATCCTTCTCCAACTGTTTGGAGTTAGGGGTAATCTAGTTAGGGGTAATTTTTTTTTCTCATGTAACTTAAACTGATGGAGGGTTGTATTTTTTTTTAAGAGTCATTCCGTTCACATTGAAAATTATTTTACATGAGTACTGGATTTGGGATAAAGTTTCTCTTAATTGAAAACTAAACACTGTATTCATAGTTCTCCCTTTAATATGCACATGATGACATGTGCAGTGACTCCCCACTCTAGCTAGTTTAATCTGCAGGTAGTGGACACCTATATAACCAAATATTATTATGCAGAATGAATCAGACCTGAAAGGAATCTTGAGAGGTCAAATCCAGTTCCCTGCATTTATGGCAGGACCAAGCAACAACTAGGCCATCTCTGACAGGTGTTTGTCTAACCTGCTTTTAAAGATCTCCAATGATGGAGATTCCCCAGCCTCCCTACAGCAATTTATTGCAGTGCTTAACCACTCTGACACAGTTTTTCCTAATGTCCAACCTAAGCCTCCCTTGCTACAATTTATGCCTATTGTTTCTTATCCTATTATGAGTTGAGAACAATTTTTCTCCCTCCTCTTTGTAGCCACTTTTTAGATACTTGAAAGGTGTTATTGTGTCCTCTCTGTCTTCTCTTTTCCAGACTGACTAATCCAAGTTCTTTCAGTCTTCCCTCATAGATCATCTTTTCTAGACCTTTAATCATTTTTGTTGCTTTTCTCTGCATCTTCTGCAACTTGTCCTCATCTTTCCTGGAATGTGGTGCCTAGGGGGGAAAAAAAGATCTAAATATATATTATGGAGTTAGTATACAAATGTATACGTTGCAGTTAAAAATGGAATCTATATTTTGTGACAATGTCAATATATGTCATTTCAATACAGGTTAACCCTTTCTAGTCTAGCACCCTCAGGACCTGACTGGTGCCGAACCAGAGAATTTGCTGAACCATGGGAGGTCAATATTATCTCGCAGTATTACCACCAACACTTTTACTGCTCTTAAAAGACATTTGGGGTAAATTAAAGCTAAATAACAGCACAAAATACTGAGAGCCAGGACTGGTGGCTGTAAACAAACCTCATGGGACTACAGGAAACTTGGCCACACCCATGATAAGTGGACATCCAGTGAACTAAAATCATGCCAGACCATGGATGTTGCTGGACTAGAGAAGTTCTACCTGTTGTATCACTCTGATTCCTTTGGCTTTAATTTTATATTACATTAAAACGTTAACTTACTGTAAATTATATAACACTACATAGTTTAATATTCTAAAAGCTGAAACAAAATTAATCAAAATGATACTATGGAAATGTAACTTTTTTTATAGTATCCAAATAAAATGTTTCAGAATTTTTGTCTCCTGGAAATTAAAAAAAAAATCCAATTTTCATTTCAAATTGAAATTAACCTATTTGAAATACTCGAATTTCCAACAAAATGGAAACTCTAAAAAATGGGCATGTGAAACTTCATGCTATTGGATAGCCTGCTGAATGGGTAATACTATTACTTGGATATCAATTTAAATTCATACTTATATACAAACCCTTTTCTCTTTGATAAACAATACTCAAAGTGCACTGATAACTTTGCAGCCCTGCTGTTAAACTAGCCTATTGATGTAAACTTAGAAAGCCAATATACATTGATTTAAAGGAGGGGAGGGAGGAGAATCCTGCATTTAGAAGTCTTCAGTGTGGACTCTCACATCTTTCATTCTGTGGGTATGTCTACACTACAAATGACACAGCCGTTAGTTTGAATTAACTTTCATAGGCGCTACACATGCAAACCGCTAGTTGGAACTTAATTCGAACTAGCGGAGCACTTAATTCGAACGAGGTACACCTCGTTCTACGAGGACTAACGCCTAGTTCGAATTAAGTAGTTCGAATTAGGGGCTGTGTAGCCACTTAATTCAAACTAGTTGGAGGCTAGCCCTTCCCAGCATGCCCTGGTGGCCACTCTGGGCACAACCAGGGAAACTCTTCTGCCCCCCTCCTGGCCCCTTAAAGGGCCACGGTCTGGCTACGGTGCCCATGCCAGTTGCAAGCCCCCAGCCAGCAGACCCTGCACCTGGCATGAGCCAGCCACCCACTGCCACCCAGCCCTCCCCCTCTTCCCAGGACCAGGCTAGTGGCCCACAGGAGCCTGCCTGGGGCCACAAGAGGTGGGTGCCCGCCTGGTCTAGTGCGGAGATCGTGGACATCATCCAGGTTTGGGGGGAGGCCTCCAACGTCCACAATCTCTGCACTAGACACAGGAAATCGGCCATCTAGAACAGGATAGCTGCCAGCCTGGCCACCAAAGACCACATGCGAACCCAGGAGCAGGTTTGCATGAAAATCAAGTTGGTCCAGTGAGACCCCCGACCCTGAGCCCTGAGCTTAGAACATAAGAATGGCCGTACTGGGTCAGACCAAAGGTCCATCTAGCCCAGTAGCCTGTCTGCCGACAGCGGCCAACACCGGATACCCCAGCGGGGCTGGACCAAAGACAATGACCAAGCCATTTGTCTCATGCCATCCATCTCCAGCCTTCCACAAACAGAGGCCAGGGACCCCATTCCTACCCCCTGGCTAATAGCACTCCATGGACCCAACCTCCATGACTTTATCTAGCTTCTCTTTAAACTCTGTTCTAGTTGTAGCCTTCACAGCCTCCTGTGGCAAAGAGTTCCACAGATTGACTATTTGCTTTGTGAAGAAGAACTTTCTTTTATTAGTTTGAAGCCTGCTACCCATTCATTTCATTTGGTGTCCTCTAGTTCTTATTATGGGAACTAATGAAGAACTTTTCTTTATTCACCCTCTCCATACCACTCATGATTTTATAGACCTCTATCATCTCCCCCCTCAGTCTCCTCTTTTCGAAGCTGAAAAGTCCCAGTCTCTTTAGCCTCTCTTCATATGGGACCTGTTCCAAACCCCTAATCATTTTAGTTGCCCATTTCTGAACCCTTTCCAAGGCCAAAACATCTTTTTTGAGGTGAGAAGACCATATCTGTACACAGTACTGAAGATATGGCATACCATAGTTTTATACTTCTCCTCCTCCTTCTTCCCCTGGCTTCCCCCTTCCAGCTCTCTCCTCCCAAGTTTTCTCCTTCCCTCTCTCTTCCCTTCTCCCACCTCCTTTTCCCAGTCTCCCCAGAGGTTCATCCCCTCCCACCGCTAGTTTTGTTAAATAAAGAGTTTCTATTTTTGACCACACGTGTCCTTTATTTTTTACATCAGGAAGGGGGGCTAGGGAGGGGTAAGTGGAAGGAGGTGAGAGAGGACTGGGATGTGAGGAGCCCCCGATGGGGAGGACTGGGGTGGCTCTGCGGGCTCCTCGGGGTGGAAGCTCTCCTGCAGGGCCTCCAGGATCCAGACAGCCCCCCGATTGACCCCCCCCGATGGCAGCCTGCGGCAAGTGCAGCCGGGCTGATGGCTGAGTGCTGTGATGTGCCGAGTGTGGGCACTCAGGGCACTCCAAGTCAGGACTGCTTTGCTGTCCCTCATCAGGGTCCACTCAATGTGGACATGCTAGTTTGAATTAACAAAACGCTAATTCGAATTGGTTTTTAGGTCTAGATGCACTAATTCGAATTAGCTTAGTTCAAATTAACTAATTTGAATTAAGTTAGTTCGAATTAGTGCTGTAGTGTAGGCATACCCTGTGTTAACTGATATAAAAAGAGTTCCCGTGTGGTTCAGCTGGAAAATAGGGAATCTCCAAGCTGTTTCTAGAGAGATCAGAGTTCATTGGCAGTAGCTGACTTTTCAGAGCGATGCTTGCAATATATTTTAATGTACTTGTGAATAAAATAATGTTTGTATATATGGTGTCTGCATGGACAGCCATCGTTAAGTACTTCAGTGTCACGGTTAAAGAGAAAAATTGCTTATTTTGACATAGGTTTTGGCTCTTATATCTGTCTGTTTTCTTAATAGGTTGGCCTGTTCAGAAAATCAGGCGTTAAATCTAGGATCCTTTCTTTAAGGGAAATGAATGAAAATGACCCAAACAACGTAACTTACGAAGGGCAGTCTGCGTTCGATGTGGCAGATATGGTAAAGCAGTATTTCCGAGATCTTCCTGAGCCAATATTCACTAGCAAGCTTTGTGAATCCTTCCTCCACATTTACCAGTGTATGTAACTTTTAATTTTTCATTGTTTCTTGGACATTTAGGCCAAAAGTAACCTCTGGCTTTGTCTGCTCGTTTTTTTTTTTTTTTTTTGAGAATCCAAAATCATGCTGCTGGGAACATGACTTTTCAGTAGTTCTGAGCATCTTTAAGCCCTGTTGAAGTCAGTGGGAGCTGCAGGTAGTCAGTACTTCTGAAGTAAGATCCACAGTATCTCAAGATGGACTTCTAAAATCAAAGTGAAAATTAGTGGTCTCAGATTATACAATAAACATTTTCTTCATGCTTGTGGCTTTCTTTCCTTTTAATAATACTCTATGGTTGGTGTTCTGACTTGATTTTTAAATTGTTATTTCTGTATATTAAATTAGGGCATAATTTGTTACCCTCATTGAGAAGCACCTGATTATGCAAGTAGTCTGTTCATTTCAGTAAATTGCATTTGAGATCAGGTACTTCTTAGCATGAGGGTCGGTTCTGTGGTGTATCATTTTCATTGGAAATACCAGCTGATTCCTACTTGTTCTGTGAGCCTGTCTGCATTTAAGATTGTTTGTTTGAAAAAGGAATAAACCATAAGGCAAACAAAGCAATGGCAAATGATGTAGAATTAATTCAGTCTCCACTCTTTTTATTAACTGAATTCATTATGATGCAGCAAGAACACGTTCTGGAGGCATATGATGTTGGTGCCTCAAGTTTTTTAATGACAGTCTTTTCTGACACCTGGAAAAGGCATGTAAATGTTAAATAAGCACAGTCTTTGAAAACAGATTACATCTTGGGTTTTGTTGTATTACATGACTTGACTTTGACATGAGGAACATGTACCCTGCTCCCTCCAGGCAAAGCCTTGATTACTGGAGTACTAGTTACTTATTTCCTGTCTGTAGAATATGGAACAATATCCCAAATCTCTAGGTAAAGCTGGGGTTTGTAGAAATTTTAAATAAAAAAGCTATTTTTTAAAGTGATCAACCAAACTGCTGTTCCTGTTTAGCCTACCCTGGTGGGCACTCTGCTTCTGGAGTTATCCAGGAAGAACTGTCCTTTAATAACTCCAGATGTAGACAAGCCCTTATTTGTGTTTTGATCAACCTTATTTCAGTTTCTTAAGTCTGTTAGGCAGAGCTTTAAGACCAACTGAAATAAGCCATTTGCCAACCTGATGTAGAGGCTTAATTTAACTGGCTTTACTGAACTGGCCTTTTAGGTCTCTGCCATCTCTGAGGATTGTTCTGTGATCCTGGATATGGAAGAGCTGGTGTATGGAGTTGATCCCTTATTTAGAGTCTAGTGTGTCCATTGTTTTATTTTAATGATTGATATTATCAGACTCTCATGAGTTTCTCAATTCTTTGGTCTTCAGATTTGCCAAAGGATCAACAGTTTCATGCAGTGCAGGCTGCCATTCTTCTGCTCCCAGATGAAAACCGAGAGGCTCTGAAAATCCTTCTCTTCTTTCTCAGAGATGTAGTTGCTTTTGTTGAGGAAAACCAGATGACTCCAACCAACATTGCAGTCTGCCTGGCACCATCCCTGTTTCACCTTAATACCTTAAGGCGAGAGAGTTCATCATCATCTAGGTATCCTTGTCTTAACAGCTGAACTATTGTTTAAGAGCTTTTCTGTGCCATGTTGACTCTGCATATAGGAAATGAACCAAACACTTACCTTGTCTGTTAAAAATCTGGAGGTGCTCCAAATTTGTCCCACGTGACAGCTCAGCCCTTAAGGGAGATGAGACTACATCACCCTTCTACTCCACTGCTTCCCTGTCAAATGTGAGACCAGTTTTAAGGCCCTTTTCTTCAAAGCCCTAAGTAGTCTGGGCCCCAGTTCTTACGAATCCACTCTTCCCTCTGTGCATGCTCTCCTTCTCCTCCTCATACACTTAAGACAACTTTGCTCTTTGAGGGTGTGTAAAGTATGCACAGCTGCTTTACTGTGCTGTAACTTCCTTCCTCAGAGGTGTGTGAAAACACCCCTACCCCCCAAATGCAGCAAGTTACAGCTAAAGTTCCAGTGTAAACAGGCTCCCAGCACTGTGAGCTACTCCCCTCATGCTGCTGTGGCTGTGATTTAAACTTAGCAGTGTAGACAAAGCCTTAGTTAACGTGGGCATGACACAAGATTCTGAAGGTGGCAATACCTGTCTTTTGTATTGGCTTAGTCCAATTCCACTAAAAAAAACTCAAGGATTAGGTTCCTTGCAATGTCTATGCCAAAGGAGTTAGCAAAAAAGCCACTTGTTCTGTACTTTATGAAGTGAGGGTGAGAATAGACTTCCTAACAAACTTTGCTTTTTATAATTCTGCTTGTACTCGGGAAGCACGCAATGACTGTGTTACAGAGAAATGGGGAGGTAGAAGATATTTATTTAAGTAGGCTTCCAAACTCCTGTTAGTATTTACATATAAAAATCCAGCTGCAGATTCAAGCTTCCAGACCTAGTTTCCAGCTCGTTACTAATTCAGGTACTAACTCTGGTAATATGGATGCTAAGGGAACTGTGTGATTTTAATTTTAATAAGCAACAATATCTTAATTGTCTAACACTTACTGGCAGTTCATATGGTGATGAAGTAACTTCTAGGTAGAATCAGTATTGTGACCTCTGAGCATTTCATTTTGGATCTAGTTTAGCAATGCAAGGCCTTTTTTGTTTGCTATACAGTATGACTGTGCTTGTGGATAAACTTGTTCTGAGGGAGGAAAAGGCTGTTTTTCTTTTGACAAAAACATTATGCCCTGTCAAAGCAGATACTTCATCATCTTATGCAATCTAATGATAAGGATAGAAGTTCCATTTAGGTGAGGAAGTGTGTCACATGCATGGTATTTGTGCATTTCAGGTTTAATGACACTTTGAGAAAAGTAAATAGAGATAAAAATGTTAAGAATTTGCTGTTAAGAAGCACAAAACATCTCGAGATGCATATCTGCCTATAAAGCAAGTCCTGTGATGCTCAGAAGTGCTAACCCTAAAGCTGAAACAATGATAGCGTTGCAGATCATAGAGAGAGAAGACGTGCGTGGAGCCAGGAATGTGGCAGAGTGATTGATAGCTTTTTCAATTGCAAATCCTGACCAGAATTAAGCAATCTGTCATTTTTGGGAGCTTGAGATTCATAGTTGGAATGGTTGGTACCATCTGAATTTACTTTTAACTCTACATTGCAACAGCAAGTAGCCTAAAATCATTTTAGAAACAAGGATGCTTTGAACCTTAAATTCAAATAATTAGTTAATATTTTACCTTTGGATTCAGTCTTCAAAGGGACATGCTCTAAGGAATAGTCGAGGGTCCTTATTGCCTTCTCTTTTTAAAGTTGTTTCGTTGGAATGTTCCAAGATAAAGCTATTGTGAGTGTTACTGGTGTCCTATAACAATTATGTCCTGGAAAGAGGCAAAATGCTGATAACGTGAGTTAGCAAGATGGCAGTGCTTTTCTGGATCTGATTGGATGAGCTCAGAATTAAGTCTTTAGTTACATCAACAAAGAGAGCTCATTCATTTCATAGGCTAATCTTAATTACTTTTCAGTAAAAGAACTTATTAGCTTGTAAATTTTGATAAGCCTCAGTTGCACTAGTGTTCCTTGGTATCTCAGTCTACCATTTCTATGAAGCTTACTAGTCACAATTACTGTGGCTTTCCCATTGTTGTCCCTGGCAACAAAAGTGATGACAGAATTTGTTTGGTGAAGTTGTTCATGTACAGAACTCGTCATAACACACAAATTCAGACACCAGAGTAGATGAGAAAATTCCCTAGAGCTTCCAGGCTGTGGTGATGTGCTTCTCCTCTTACTTTTTTGATTTATTCTGCTATGTCTTTAAAAAAAAATCCTTATTTACCTTCTCTCTAGATCCAGCCAGAGGAAGTACAGCCTGGGAAAACCAGACCAGAGAGACTTGAGTGAAAATCTGGCGGCTACCCAAGGCCTGGCCCACATGATAATGGAGTGCAGCAGACTCTTCCAGGTCTGTCACTTGTTATAACACCTACTGCATTACAACATTGTAGGAAGTATTGTTAGAAAAGTGAATACAGGCAGTCCCCGACTTACGCGGATCCGACTTACATCGGATCTGCACTTACGAATGGGGTTTTTCTTGCCCCGGAGCTCACGGGCGTCGCGTCGCCACCCGTATCCTCCGGGGCGAGAAAAGCTTCTCCCGGTCTCCCTGGTCTGCTTGGGGGGGGTCCAGCAAAGCTGCTGGACCCCCCCCCAGCAGACTAGTGACACCTGAGCAAAGCTGCCGCCTGGGTGGCTTTGTTTTTAA